TACATATTGTCGTGTGGGGGAGTTGAATAATTTAACTTTATGATCAGGAGGTGAGGTTACAGCCAAGCTATTTGCTTTTTCATAGTAGTAGTGATATCTGTAGTGCACTGCAAATAAGGTTTCCATCAGTTGTAAGGTTAAAAGATGTTAAGAGACCAGGCATCGTGTATTGATACATTACAATTAAAAAATAAATATAGAGGGATAATCAGTAGAAAATAAATTTCATTTTCTACATCTGAAAAAACCTATTTATAGCATGTGCCTTATGAAGACACTTGTGCAAGTTCTAGAGTTTTCTAACCATAATAGAGATTTTATTTTATTATTATTTGAAAGAAGCAGTAATCGCAGTGGCCTGGAGGATTTTTCGGCAGTGTGGTAACCTTTTCAGAAAAGGTGGTATTCCTTCTGACAAGAGATATACAGCGCTTAGTTCAGCTGGCAGCTGGAGGGTGCATATCATGGCTGTTGACACACATTTAAAGTTCTCTTAACTTTTAATGTTCCAGGAAAGTCCTGGAAAGGCAGGAATAGTTATTTTCCATGATGTATCTAGCTGGAAGTACATGAGGAAAGGCTTTTATTAAGGTATCTTTAAGGTAGTTAATGGTGAGAAATGGATTAGACAAAGGCTTATGAAGGTGAGCGAGAATTAGCTTGTGATCTAAAAATAATAGCAGATTTTTAATAGTAGTGACTGGCCATAAGTTTTCACGAGTACTATTTCTCCTACCGTGATTTAATAACACTGGTTTAAAGTGTACAGTATACATTGTACAACTCTGTTTGTAGCAGGCATGTTTTAAAATGGAAAAAAGTGAATAATGGTAGAGTGGATCTAATTGTGTTGTGATGGCCAGCAAAAAGAATGACAGGCTAGAACCCTAAATGATATGGTGACTGCTGGGCAGGATGAGCCCTCTCCTGCCAGCAAGGTTTCTGGCTGATCAGGTGTACAGATGCCATTGGTTTATTTCTGATGGATAGGATTACAACTTCTGGCGTTTGATCCTGGTAGTGAAGTTACATCCCTTCAGCAGGGATGAAATTAATGAGAAAGGGAGTTTGATAGTGCCAATCAACATAGGCCAGGAATTAAATTACTTCTATCTATCAGGCTGCTTTCTCTGAAGAAAAAGGTTGCACTTTCAGGAAATTATTTATTCTTGCATGTGGCCTAGTAGTTGCCACATGCAGGGCACCTGTGTAAAGCCTTTTCCTTCAGGAAAGGTTGGAGTAGATTGAGGACCCAGCTGATCTTTACATTGCTGTCAGGCATAGATGATGTTCCTGAATTCATGTCTTAGCAACAAAATGGAGAAAAGGCAATGACTGCTTGTGGTAAATGTAACTGAGAAGGTTGGAATATGTTTGTGTAAGAGGTATAAAAATATAACGTTAAATTGGCACATCCTCCTCCCATTAACATAGTTCATGCTAGAAAAGAGGGTGGATCTTTTAGTAAATCTTGTGCCACTTCCTCAGATTGTGTGTTTTCCTGTACATTTGCCTCAGCAAAAATTCTACAATAAGTGTTTTTACTCATACAGAAGTTCCTTCTTTTTTATCCCCTCACCCTCTCCCCCATGACTTTGTAGCAGCAATGTTTCCAGAAGAGATTTGTCCACTATTTTTTGCATCCATATGAGGATGCAGTGACATGGAGTCACATCATATATACACACATGTATGTATGTGTGTGTGTATCTATCTATAATCTAATTCCTACTATTCTGTTGTTTATATTACTATAGATACGTGTATGCAGATGTTTAATCTTGAAGAATGTGTACACTCAGTCTGCTCCAAGGCACATGTGAGATTTGTCATACTAGATTCTGTATGACTTTGTGTGTAACACAGTTCATGGCGGATTTGATCCTATAAACCATACTCAATAGAGTGTTTTGATGTCTTGGAGGATGAAATCTATGCAAAATCTGTGACTATGAATACAAGTTAATCCATATGTATATCGTGGTTTAACACCAGACACCACCTAAGCACCACAGAGCCACTTGCTCACTCCTCCTCTCTCCCAGTGGGATTGGGAGGAGAATTGGAAAAAAAAAGTGAAACTTGGTAGTTGTAATAAGAACAGTTTAATAACTAAACTAAACTAAATTATTATTGATAATAATAATGATGATAATAATAATTTTAAAAATATTGTATTGAAAAGGAAAATAACAAAAAGAGAGAGAAATAAACCCCAAGAAAAGACAAGTGATGCACAATGCAGTTGCTCACAACCTGCTGACTGATGCCCGAGCAGTGATCTGCCCCTCCCAGCCAACTCCCCCCCAGTTTACATACTGGGCATGATGTCCTGTTATATGGAATATCCCTTTGGTTTGTTCGAGTCAGCTGTCCTGGCCATGTTCCTCACAGCTTGTTGTGTACCTCCTCGCTGGCAGAGCGAGGGAAACTGAAGAGTCCTTGACTTAGGATAAGCACTACTTAGGAACAACTAAAACATCAATGTGTTATCAACGTTATTCTTACACTGAATCCAAAACACAGCACTGAAACAGCTACTAGGAAGAAAATTAACTCTGTCCCAGCCGAAATCAGGACAATCTAATATAGACTGAGTATACACAGTGTGTGTATTAACAGTAGAGTATGTGCACATTCCATGTGTACACATGGTTTCTCAATCTTGCAAGGAGATCCACATGGATGAGTTGGGTTTGTATAGAGATGAAAGTTTTTGCCTATATAGGGGACAGAACTGGGGAGGGGAAATTAAGCACTTTTTCATTATTGGTATGGCAGAAATTTTCAGCGATGTAGATAGTTTGCTATTGGAACAATTTATGCTGTGATGTGGCATATTTTTCATCAACTGAATTATTTAAATGAAAACTATGTGCCTTCGTTAAGGTAAGTTTCCACATCTAATCTCTGTTGTCTTAATGAAAAGACATGTCTCCGCAGACTGTCTGGCTTCTGATAGTTCTGTTGTCCTAATTGTGCATTCCCATTGGCCATTCTGCTTTTAAACTTATGAAACTCTATTAATGTCACGTTAGAATGATTCGACTTGAGTCCCCAGTAGCAGAATCCATAGTTTTTGTTAAACTTACAGACGTGATTTGTGCTGGTACTAACATGACACTTCCATGAGACAGATGGGACATTTTAGCTTCACCATAAGCAAATAGGCATCCCAATGATGCTCATTTCACATGACATTACATTTTTGCAAGATTGAATTAGTTTCCTCATTTGCAGATGCCATTGTAAGGCTGAAGTATTTTAATATTTACAAGGCAAGACTGGGTCTAAATCTTTCAAGTACAGTTTAATGACCCTGTATGGTACGTAAGACAGGATGCCAATTTGCCAGCCACACCCCTGCGCACACTTAGCTCAGACAGTTGTGGTTTTCCCTTGTGGAGAGGAGACCACGCTTCCTTTCTGGCTGTGAGAAAAGAATTTTCTCTCCTCCTAGCTAGGCAGAGCCCTTTTTACTTTCCTGGGCACCAAGGAGAGCCTGTTTTTCCTTCATCCCTTCACTAAATTTAAGCCTTTCGTTTCCTTATCCCTTCTAGGACAACTGTGGCAAGAACAGGTCTGTGTCTTTGCTCTTCTTTTTCCAGTACTTCCTGACACTAGGCAGGTTCTCCTGGTTGCTGCTTGCAAGGCTGTCCTTCAGGATCAGTGGCCGTTTGCGAGTAGAAAATATTTTCAAAGGGGTATTAGTTATAAAGATAGAATTAAATATAAGAGGAAAGGACTGATCACTCAAAAATAGGTCCACGTACATATTTGCGTTACTTAAAGCTTGAGCTGATCTATGTTATCACAGAGAAGGCCCACCTCTCAGTCTATTTTATCCACATCTGGGATCTTGGCTCCAGTTTCCTGCAGGTAACTCTTTCAGATCCATCTGGGGTGAAAAATTAAGTACAAATCTGGACATGTCTCAGAGTAGCATTTTAAATGCTCATTACCCTGTTAGGATTGATAAAGGCGGGATCTGAAGCTCCAGTTTATTTTTTCCCTATGAATCACTACTCCCTATTTAATTAATCCCTTCTAATCAAGTAGCAAACAATATTGTATCAAACAAACAGAACATATAACATTCATAGACACATCCTCTATTAAAATACTGCATATAGTAAAATCACGTGCTGCAGTCAGTCATTTGTCACTATCAGGAAAGACTATCTGTTGGTAATTCTTTTTCACCTTCCTCTGAAGCCTCAGAGGTTGTCTATAGCTTGATATTGTCTATGACAGAGTCAATGTGTAATGTGGTACAGGAACTCCATTCTGGCATCTGACTGGTGTGTCTTGCTTAAATGCTTGGACTAATACTATTGCTGTCCCTATAGGGATGGGGAGGATTTTTTTGTCAAGTGACTTTGACAGGCAGGACTTTGAATCTCTTTCACTTCTTATGCAACACAAAAAATGTTTTGTTTTCTGAGTTCAGGTCTTCTGAGTTCATCTGATTTAGACAATTGGATCTTTGTCTTTTCTGTTTACTGCTCTGGGCACACATTGTAGTTTTGTGGGAAATGAAATGTATGTTTTTAACCAATAATGGCTGCTAAAAGATCAAACTGAATCTAGCCTTGATTTCTATTGTGATTATAAACCCCTATGAAATAGAAGTATATGGTCAAGTTATATCACTGTAAAATGATTACAAATGATTATAAAATTTTGGAACTTGTAGAGCTGTTATGGCTACAAAGTAGTGTAAGTATTTGTATTCTATATTTTACAATGTTGTATTAGCATTTTTCCTTTACAGCTACTTTTGATTTAAACTGTGCACCACAAGCATATTTGTAGCATGACATGCTTTCTTTAATTTAGTACAGAAAATGTATGAGCACATTCAGAAAAAAATGCAATGAATGGATTTCTTTTTTTCCATCAGCTGATCATTTTATCATTTAATTAACATTAACTGTCTATTTGTGCTACAAGAAATATTGACAGAATTCTCTTTCTTGTTTCTTGTCATGATTATTTAGGAAAAGAAGCCCATCAATATCAAGAGAGCAGAACAGAAGATACGACCAAAGGGACGAGAGAGACGAATATTCACAGTATGCTACATCAGACAGTGCGATGCCCAGGTCACCATCAGATTATTCAGATAGGCGGTCACAGCGTGGGCCTCAGTTATATGAAGAACCTGAACTGGGTGATTATAGAGATTCCAACAGAAGGAGTCGCAGGCGTTCCAAGGAGTATCCGGTAGAAGAGGAAGATGCGCAAAACAGGGAAGAATATGAAAGGCAGCGGAGGGAAGAGGAATACCAGGCACGATACCGAAGTGATCCTAATTTGGCTCGTTATCCAGTCAAGCCACAACCGTATGAGGAACAAATGCGTATCCATGCTGAAGTGTCCCGAGCACGTCATGAACGGAGACATAGTGATGTCTCATTGGCAAATACAGAGTTGGAAGATTCTAGGATGTCTATGCTGAGGATGGAACGACCATCAAGACAAAGATCAGTGTCTGAGCGCAGGGCTGCCATGGAAAATCAACGTTCGTACTCTATGGAAAGAACTCGAGAGGCTCAGGGACCAAGTCCCAATCGTCAGAGGACCACAAATCATAGCCCTCCTACACCTAGGAGGAGTCCAATTCCTCTGGAAAGACCAGACATGAGGCGTTCTGATTCATTAAGGAAACAACACCATTTGGATCCCAATTCTGCCGTACGGAAAACAAAACGTGAAAAGATGGAGACCATGTTACGGAATGATTCACTCAGCTCAGACCAGTCTGAATCTGTCAGACCTCCACCACCAAAGCCGCATAAAACAAAAAAGGGAGGTAAAATGCGCCAGGTTTCATTAAGTAGCTCAGAAGAAGAATTGGCGTCCACTCCAGAGTATACGAGTTGTGATGATGTAGAGATTGAAAGTGAAAGTGTTAGTGAAAAAGGTAAGATTTCTAATTTTTTTAGTGTTTCAATATATAGATGTGGTTTAGTTTCCATACCATTGTATGTTTATTTTACCAATTAGAACTGATTACAACCACGTATCTGCAGCCCTTCACAGGTTACTGAAGTTTGTTGTGATAGGAGTTGGGTTTTTTTGATTTTGTGTTTCAGTTACTTAAATCTAAATTTAATGGTTTACATGGATAACAACATCACAGCTACTAGAAGTATTTGGATATGTTAAAGGAAAAAATATGCATATTGAAAAACCTGTTAATTAAATCTGCAAAATATCTAAAGCTGGGCTGTCATATAAGGCCATGGTTTCATGTCCATTAATACCAGATTTGCGTACTCCTGGATCACAGTGAGTGCATATTTGATCTGGATCAAGTGCGGGCGCATGACTGCATTTCTGTTGAATTAACTAGAGCACATGATACAGAGCTTATACCAGTTTCATGCTGGCTGCTGCAGGTTAAAGAGCATCTGATCTGCAAAAAAACCCTGTGTGTATTACGTTAACCCATTTGAGTTTTTAAACAAATTTAAAATGACTGATGCAGTTTATACCAATGGAGGTTTCCTTTTGCTGTGGGTGCTTTTCAGTTGTAGTGCTTTTTAGGATTCATGATGTCAGAGTTACTCCTTTGTAAGAAAGAAAAGCTAAGATTAATTGAATTGATTCCCAACCTGTCCAAAGGTAATGTATGACTTAAATATGAAAGCATTGGGGACCATCAGTTTAAACTGAATCAAATTAATATTAGTTTGCTTACCTTCATGTATGTTGTTGGCCTGAAGTGCAGTAATTATAACCTGTATTCAGTTATTATTCTCATGCTAGTGCACCTTTACTAATTCTCATGAGTGGCCATCTGCTGTTATGGATTTGGACTAGAAAATTTGCTAGTATTTGTTATTAATATTGTTATCAAATTGGTTCTGAAGCAAGTAATTAGAGTTAGTGAAATAGCTCTGAATTTTCATATATTAATAGCAGCAATATAGTGTAGAATGGAAGGAAATTTCACCCAGGTCAAAGTAGACAGTTACATGCACTTATATAAAACAACTGTAATAAAACCTTGACCCCCTTAGTCTTCCTGATAAGTAGAAAATCTTCTGTCAACTACAGTGTCTTCATGATTTTATTCTTAGCCTTGAGGAAAATAGACCAAATCAATATATGGGAAGTAGTAAGAAAGTGTTTATTTAATGAAATTCAGCACAGGAAACATAATATACAGAATAATATACAAACAATATATTTTTGCTACACATACAAAACATATACATTTAAGACATACTATACAATGTTAGATTCACTGTCATCATAATAATCTGACATAAATTATAGCTTTTACTTACATAGTTTTGTATTTTAACTGTCAAAGACAACATTATTATTGATAACAATAGTTAATAATGTCATGTCTGTGCTGATTTCTGAGGTAGTGAATGAAGCTAAATTGAGCATGTATTTTATAAATGAATTAAAAAAGCTTGCAAAATTTTACAGGAAAAAAGTAGTCCGTTTTATGTTTTGTGTTTTGTTAATCTTGAGCGAATTGCTGTGAGCAGCTTTCGTGACATAGAGTGTAGCTGTGTCAGCCTGGCCCAGTGGTGGCCTGTGCATGGAACCAGTGTGGAGAATAGCCTTATTTTTTCATAAAGGAAGAGATCAGCTGCTTGACCTGGGGAAGAGGCCTGACTGCTTCTGACTGTGCCTCCAGCATGAGCTGGAAGGTCCTGTTTTCGCCCTTGGTGATGGGCTGGGAGGCAGTCACCATGCATGGAACAGGCAGCCATCCGCACAGTAACACCTGCACCAGGAGCCAGAGCCAGCTGGTGCCAGCCTCAGCAGGCCTGGTCAGGTTATCGGACGATATCCTCAGCCCAAATCATACTTCTCCACTGCTCTTTAAACCCTGGAGCTGAAGCTCCAGAAAATTATCTGTTTGAGTGGATTTGGCAAGATTTGGATTCTGCTAGGCATGGGGGAGGAGAGAAGAGTTCTGCTAGGATGAAGAGGAAGAGGGAGTCTCACTACCTGGATCCAGCCTTCACAGCTGCTATAGGCAGACCCACAAAGTCCTACCTCATACTTTTTATTTTCATGAATCTCTATTACCATGTAAACCAGCCTGCATTCAGAGTCCCTATGAATAAGTGATTTCTTCATGAATACCACCAAAAGGAATCCAGCACATAAACCCCCTCAGTATTCCTTGTATTGCAATATATTATTCCTTAATGGATAAAATACAATTAATTGTTTTAAGCACCTCCTATAAAAATGGGTTTCTCCTCCCCCCAAATTACTTTGTTTCTGCCTTTCAAAAATGCCCCAGACCTGGGGATTTCTCAGCTGCCCTTTAAAGCCACGTACAAAGTCTGTTTGGCCAAAGATGTAATGCTAAATATAGAACATTTGGCCTTGGAGTGATGAAGGGTGGCAGTGTTAGAGTGAGAATTTTGGTGCAGTAATAATGAGTTCTTTAAAAGAGAAGAATAATTTGTTCTCCATCTCTTTCTCTATGGAGTACCCATATCTATTCACAGATTCTGTGAATAAGTATTGACAACTGCTCAGCTATGAGGAGCAGCCTGGGCCTGAGCTGCAGGAGCAGCTTTTTGCTGAATTACATCTGAGATTTTACAAGGCCCTGACATTGGTTTTAAGAAACTAGTCTGAAAATTGTGAATTATCCGAAAATGTAGGAAAAATTATAGTCATATGCTCTTAAAAGGTCTGAAATTTTGCCTTTTTAAGCCTATCTTCAAAATGAAAAGGATTGATACATATATATGGTTGGAACATATATATGCATAGAAAATGAAGATAGCCATTTCATTTTATAAGTTTAACAGAGACATGGACCAGCTGCTGGATTAAGAGCTCTGGGAAAAGCATCCGTTATTACTGAATGCCTGTGACTTTAAGTATTTGGGTCTGATCTCATTTCAGTAGCTGTCTGCTTTAAGGTATTTTTTTCCTTGATTTTTAAAAATGTAAACTGATTGTTTTCAGGCAGGGGACAGACAAGGCAGAATTATTTTTCTGCATGTTTTGGTAATGGCCAGAGAAACTATTGCCTTGGAATGCTCCTGCCTCCTCTCTATGAGAGACAGGGGAAACTGTGAGGAAAGAAAGCTGATGAACACTCAGACAACACTCAGGCACCCAGTAGACAGCCATGTGAAACACAGGCAAGTTGAAGAAGCATGATAGATGGAGATTCAACTGCAGAAAGAAGAACAGATTTTTAAGATACTGCATAGTTTTTATAATGCAACTATATTTGGACCAGGAAATTCGGGTCATAAACTAGGCTGAGGACTGGCATAATGGAATGGGAATCAGGAGGCTTCAGGAGGATGAGCAGACAAGTGGAGGAAGATTAGGAACTACAAAACAAAATGTCATTGGGTGGCTGGAAATCAGTGGATTGAGATGGTAACTGAGGCTGAAGAAGAGGGGAATGCAAAGCTGGTAGATCAAGTAGGCTAAACATGTGACCTGAGTTTGGTAAGAACAGATAAAGTTAAGGAAACAGATCTGATAAAGATAACTGGGAAGGTGAGAACTGGAGCTTCCCAAGCAGTAGGTTAGAGGATTCTGAGATTGGCTGAGAAACAGAAGCAGAAGTTTGAGAGAGATGGTGAGTGGCTAGGAAAAGTGTGTTCAGAGAGAAGGACAAGTGGGATGAGCTGGACTTGGGAACTTTGGCAAAGAAGGACTGGGACTCCCTAAGCAAGGACCGTGGGCCTGGCAGCATTGACCCGTGGCGCTGAGTGAGGGTCATTTGGTGAGATGAGAAGTGCAGGACTATGCTGAGAAGCCAATGGTGTGACAGACCAGTTATTTCTTGAAAAGGTCAGGAAGCAATGCATGACAACAGTGTTAAATAGACATAACTGAGATGATAAATGTGTTTACTTGAAACTTAGGTTGTGCCGGAATTAGACCTATTTTGCAGACTGAATTTTGTGCAGGTCTTCATACACATTATAACTGTCCTTAGTGACATAATTGAACACTAATTTACCAAGTGACCTCTGCCTTTTTCTGTACATAGGATGAACAATTGTTACTTATTGTGCTACTCAAAATTTTCTGATGCTCCCAAGATTTTTTCCAACTTATCTAAGGGACCTTTCTTTACTCTTGCTGTGAACACCAGGCCTCTGAAACTGAAAAGACAGTGTCTCTATTTGCAACATTTGCTGACAGTCCTGAAGGTCAGAGTAGCAGACAGACCAAGGCTGTATCTCTATGGCAGGATTCCCTGTCTGTGTTGGGAAATATACTTTGCAGAGGAAAAAAAAAAAAAGATGACCATATGTTTTGGATCAAAATATTAGGTATCTTTCTATTTTCCCTATAACTGAAAGAACAAAATTGCTTAAAATGATACGAAAAACAATTCTTGAAATGCCAGTGCTTTTATGAAATCATAAATTTTAAATGGCAGTAAAATGGGTCCTCAATCAGTAAACAACAGTCATAATGATATTCTTAAATGTTTTAGATTGTTCAGTTCACCAGTTCTTTCTCAAAACCGTCTCAGTTTGCTTGGTTCAGTTTCAAGGTTCTGAGAAATATTGTTTATAAAGTAAGAACAGCTGTGGTTTAATTGCAGTAAAGTGAATGCTGAACTGTGTCACCTACAGAGCTCCAAATGAAGGTATGTTCTTTGTGGTGTGCAAGTTAGGCCAGGCTGTCTCCATTGCTTGTACAATTTCAGTGTCTTCTACTGAGGGAATATTAAAGTATTTTTTATTTGCATTTTCATTTAGGTGTTTGTCAGTGCAATTGTAAGGAACAGGCCCTAGGGCAGGTTTGAAAAGGGCCCCCATAATTTGTCAGCCAGCCTGAAGTAGATGTGAAACAGAGCTCTACAGGCTTTTCTGTATGTCTACAGGCTTTCCAGGTAGAGTTAAGAAATCAAAGAGTACCACTGCCCATATATTTCTTGTGGTAATACTGTCACGT